TCCCAATCCCAGAGAGCCCAGCCAGGGAGCAGCTCCTTTCCCATTCCTCCCAATTCCAGAGAATCCAGCCAGGGAGCAGCTCCTGCTTCATCCCTCCCAATCCCTGAGAGCCCAACAAGGGAGCAGCTCCTTCCCAATCCCAGAGAGCCCAGCCAGGGAGCAGCTCCTGTCCCATCCCTCCCAATCCCAGAGAACCTAACCAGGGAGCAGCTCCTTCCCAATCCTAGAGAGCCCAGCCAGGGAGCAGCTCTTGCCTTGTCCCTCCCAATCCCAGAGAACCCAACCAGGGAGCAGTTCCTTCCCAATCCCAGAGAGCCCAGCCAGGGAGCAGCTCCTGCTTCATCCCTCCCAATCCCAGAGAGCCCAGCCAGGGAGCAGCTCCTGTCCCATCCTTTCCAATCCCAGAGATCCCAGCCAGGGAGCAGCTCCTTTGCAATCCCAGAGAGTCCATCCACGGAGCAGCTCCTTCCCAATCCCTGACAGCCCAGCCAGGGAGCAGCTCCTGTCCCATCCCTCCCAATCCCTGAGAACACAACCAGGGAGCAGCTCTTGCTTCATCTCCCCCAATCCCAGAGAGTCCATCCATGGAGCAGCTCCTGCTTCATCCCTCCCAATCCCAGAGAGCCCAACCAGGGAGCAGCTCCTTCCCAATCCCAGAGATCCCAGCCAGTGAGCAGCTCCTGCCCTGTCCTTCCCAGTCCCAGAGATCCCAACCAGGAAGCACCTCCCATCCCGGTCCCTCCCACCTTTCCATCTCTCCCAGGCTCAGCTCCATGCCCACTCCCCTGCCACCCCTCCCTGTGCCCAGGGGGTACCTGGAGCAGCTCGAAGGCCGCCAGCAGGTCCCCGGCCGTGGCGTTTCCGCGGTAGATCTGGTAGTACTCGAGCTGTGGGGGGAATCGGGGGGGCCCGTACTGCTCCTCTGACATCTTCACCACCGGCTTGGCGAACGTGCGCCCCATGAAGTCGGCCTTGCCCTGCGGGGGGAGAGAAGGGGGGTTGTGGGAACTTCTTTTTCAGAGAAAAGAAAACCTTTTTAGGCAAAAACGAACACGCTAAAAGGTGGGATTTTGTGGAACTGTAAAATGTACGAAAATTAAACCCAAAGGGTCTCTTTTTCCCCCGGAAATTCGGTGAGAGGAAGACCCGGCACGGTGAATAAATCCTTTGTTCCGTGAGTTTGTGTCGTCTTTCTAAATTTAGGAGGAATTTTTCTTATGGTGGGAATGGCCCTTGGTGTTGTGGATCCCACACAGGGGGGGACGACTCTGGGATTGACCCCATGGCTGCCTCTCGTTGTGGTTAGAACAGAACCAGTCACAGAATCCCAGAATCCCAGAATCAGCTGGGTTGGAAGGGACCTCCGAGATCATCCAGTCCAACCCTGGATCCAACCCCACCGTGGTTCCCAGCCCATGGCACTGATGCCACATCCAGTCTGTCCTTAAACACCTCCAGGGAAGTGACTCCACCCCCTCCCTGGGCAGCCCATTCCAAGGGCTGATCCCTGTCCATGGAAAGAATTCCTTCCTGATGTCCAACCTAAACATCCCCTGGCACAGCTGGAGGCCGAGCCCTCTTGTCCTACTGCTGGTTCCTGGGAGATGGGAACAACTGGGAGGTGGGAATAGTCAGGATGTGGGATAGGAGGGGGAATAGTCGGGATGCGGGATAGGAATAATTGGGATGTGGGTTGGGAAGGGGAATAAATTGGGATGTGGGATAGGAG